ACACATACATAAATACAGACACATGCACTGATCTTTCAACAATTTGCATTTTCATATTTGCATAAGCTTGAGACTAACACTCGAAAAGCTTTAACAGGAAAGCAATTTCGAGAGCCAGACAGGATAGGAAGCTGAAACTTTAGGAGGTCTGGTTGCCGTTAGTGTTTGACTTCAAGATTTTAAATTCAACTTTGTTGTACATTCACGTCAAATATTTTGGCTGGATACGGTTTAAGAACTAGTTATGCTGGAAGCTGAGCTTTTACAAGAATGTTCTGTATGGGCGGCCAGAAGATTTTACATTCGTATTTGAGGTTTTAAACTCATGTTCAGAGATTTCAAACTCATGTTCACACTGTTAAACGTTGAACTGTTCTTTCGGTCTTACTGCTGCACGAAATGGGTAGAAACACAACACTATCATTCTTGGTTTTAAAAGATAATTTGAAAAAGCTGAGGTGGGAATTTTACTAGCAAAATAAAATTGTACTGAGAATGAGTTCTATCTGAATTCATATTCTTGAAGCATTTCTTGTTTTTTGCAGGAAGAGTTACTTCGCCAAGACAATGCGGAAATGCAAAAGCAGCTGAAGCTTATTGAAGATGAGAAATTAGCTACGAAATCTGACTTTGTAAGCTCCAAGTTCGTTTGTTAAAATTGATAGCTGCTAATAACTGGTACAAGTAAAATCCAGCCATTGCTTTTAAACAACCCTTTAGAAAGGAAACCTCGAGAGTCTTAGCGAGTGCCTGGCCTTTGGACTGTTTCCGAATGCCTCCGCTTTTTCACAAAGAACAACTACGGGGACGAATTTTGACTTTTTTATTTAATAAAAGAGTTTACAGCGAATTATTTTTAGCTTTTTTTTGTATTACCAATGAATAAATTGCAGGAGTCGTTGCAATCGATGCATAGTGCACTTCTGACGGATCACGACCGCCTACAAACACTACACAATATGCTTAGTGCTGATTACGATCGAACTAAATATGACAATACACATCTTAAGATTATGCTGAAGAATCAAAAGGTAATTGTAAAAAAACTCTTATGGTCAGTGGACGAGGGAGAAGGAGGAGGTGGGCAGAGGAGTTCATGTAAGGAAAATGTCAAGTGAATAATGCATGAAAATCAGTATCTTTAGAACTGAAAGGGCAATACTCGCTTGTACAATGATATTATATCCAGTCTAGTGATATATAGATCTGAAACATGATCACTAAGGAAAGTTGCCTTTAACAGAGAAAGTGATGGAACAAAAGATGCTTGAAATTATACTTGACCATACAGCAGTCAGACTGTTCGTCAGATGCGCGTTTTTTCTGTGCGTTTCGTCGTCATTCGGGAGACCTCGGACTTGCTGAGGTCTAGATATTCGTTGAGGCCGAAGTGTGGGATGCTCCCCGGTATCGTCTTACGTTGGGGCGCGGTGCGTTACTCGGGGTGATTGTTAAGCGGAGATGGGTTGTAGCGGGGGTGTTCTGGGTATCACTGCGTTCATCCGAGAAAGTA